TTGCCCAAGGATATTTGGCATGCAGCCAGGAGGCAGCCTGGGATCGAACCACTGACCTTCTGATTAGTGGCTGACCTGCTCTGCCACCTGAGCTACAGCCAAGTTTTCCACCATCTATCCTCCTCTGTCTCGCTCTCTGTTTTCATTAGTTTCTCACTACATTTCCATCTCTATCCACAATCACTCTAACCTGCTGAAAATTCTTTCCAGCTTTATGTCTCTGTGCAGCCAATCAATACAAGTCCTTTTGTCTTTCCTTAATGTCCAGCCTCACATACAACTCACTAGTCTTTTTCTTTGTTACGGCACTCTCTTCACCTCCACAACACTGTTTATACTACTACTTCATTTTGCTTCCTATCTACATCATGATAGATTCAAACAATGTTTTCAAGTGAACAAGTATTTAAATGACACAAGACATGAAGCCCATTAAAACACATTATCCTGAGTTAAGCTCAGCCAGCAGTCCATGCAGATCAGCTGAAGCTCGTCTAAACATGCTGCTGCAGAGAATTAAGAGGAAGCGGCAGTGAACTGTTAAAATGGTCAATATTAGCCAGTCATGTAGCCTCAGTGCGTGTATGCAGTTCTTACATGTACATACAGAAGTTTGCAGCTCTTTAGAAGATGTGTTGTGAAACTTTGTGCATGCACAGCAGAAGTATCATGGCACATTTCACAGATTGGATGTGATTGTATGGGCTCAAATTGTGGCCATAAATATTTTGTACTTGTAAATCAAATGTGTAGTTGTGGACTGAGTTTTGTTACCTTGTAAACCGAAATATCAGAAAATGTTTGTGCAATGATATATGAGAATTTGTGTGTGTGTAAAAAAATATTTACACAAGTTACACGTTTTTTGTTAAGGTCTGGTTACAGATACAAAGCAAAAAACTACGTGTTAAACTCTGCACTTGTGTGTGAGTTGCATAAAGCGCCCCTCTGACAGCCAAACCCATCTGTTCTCTGATTGGATTTTTACATTTGTGAGAGACATGATATTGACCAATCAGCTGAAAGGAAGAAAAATTGTGTCAAAATTCGTACTCGTATGTTGAAACACACACACAAGTGAGGGAACTTGTGTGTGTGAATTTTACACATAGTTTTTTGCTTTGTATCTGTAACCAGAACCTAACAGAAAATGTGTAACTTGTGTAAATATTTTTACACAATGTTTTCTTCTTCTTTTTTACACACACACACATACACACACACACAAATTCTCACCTATATGTAGCCTGGACACAATTGCTGGGGTTCTTAATGTGGAGTCTTT